TTACAACCCAGCACTTCCAAATAGGAATAAAGTTTTGAATAGTTGTGTTTGAGGGAATATAGAACGGCTGTAGTTAAGTTCCTTTCCTTTTCTTTTACAGGTGACTAAAGCACAACAAATACTTTGTTTTCAGTATAGGCTTTTTTTGAGGCTGAAGTGGAATTCAACAACCATAAAAAATTCAGTTCTGCAGAACAAGTGGTCAAAAGAATAAAATAGGCTTGCAATGTTTTATTTTTAAGTTCTCTCAGGATTACAGTCTTTGATTGTGTTTTAAATGGTTCTTGCTGAGAGAAAAAGTGCTGAAAATGGGGGATCAGCAGACATATAAAACAAACCATATAGTTAACAACAGCGAAAATGTGTATTACCAGCACCAGCACTTGAGTCCTCTGGCATCTGCAAACCACAGCTATGGAACGTCAGCCATGCATACGTCTCCAGAGTCTCCCCTCTCTCCGTCATTCCCTCACGATGCCAGGGAAAACATATCCTTGAATGTTGGGCCCAAAGGCCTTGGATTAATGGATTCTCCTAGGCAAGCAGACTGGGCCCATTTGGCGTCTGGAAACCACCTCCCAGTAAGAAACAGTCAGCATGTCATGTGGAACCCAATGGCTCAAAGCGAACCGGTTGATGGTTTTGACCATCTCTGTTCCCAAAGCAATGACCTCAGATCACAAAAAATTACCAGTGGAGTTTTGCATAAATTAGACTCTTTTGCCCAGGTGTTTGCTAGCCAAAACTTAAGAATCCAAGTGAACAATGTGTCTCAGCATATTCAGTCGCAACCTCCAGTGATGGAGAATGCTGGCGATAGTGCACTTCGGCAATTGCTGTCTCAGAAACCTGCTGTGGAGCAACAACTTGTGCCGAGATACCAGCAGATGTCACAGCAAGTCCATCCTGGCTTTGGAAGTGCACAACAGAAGCAACAGATGCAGTTAATGCAACACCAGCCCTCTCTTTATTATGACAATCAGCAACATGTTGCCCATATTCCAATGCACTCTGCCATGCACCAGGGACAGGCCCACTTGCAGCAAATGCATTCTCAACATTTGTTGCCACCGCAGCTACAGCAAGACCAATACTATCTGCAGCAGCAGCCCCATCAAGGACAGCACAGGCTCTTGGTACATGAAATGCAGCCTCAGCAGCAGCAACAGAGGCAGTGTCCCATGCAAACAGCTCAGTATTATCCAATACAGCCTATGATGCAACAATTACAGCAGCAGCAGCAGCAGCAGCAGCAGATACAAACACAACTTTCTCCCTATCACAGGGACACCAACCAGAAGCCTCTGCACGAACCTCAGCAATATTCCCAAGACAGAGGTAATTCCATGCAGCTTATACAGCTAGGAGCAGTGCCTCCATATTTCTATCAAGATCAGCAGCAGTCATTCAAACATTTGTATCCACAAAGTGTTCTGCAGCAGCAACAGCCATCTGGTGATGCCAGTCAGCCCGATCATTATCAGACTGATGGTAACACTCAGGCATTGATGGATGAACACCTGGGACTCCCTGTGGCAGAGGAGACTGAAGTTCCAGCACCACAGGGCCTGAATTCTGGGGACAGCACAATCTCTCAACAATCTCTTAGACCTACAACAAGTGTTCAGATGAATAACAAAAGACCTCAGCAGTTGTCTCCCAGTGCAGTATGGCCACAGGTATGTAAAACTTTATATCTAGCTTTCTGATAAGTAAGTTTAGAAAAAAGCTGTATTGTCTTATTCATAACATAGAGCAGGCATGCATGATTGTTTGTGAAATGTATACTTGGATTTCAATAATAGGCTGAGTGGAGCCAGAACAAAAGCTTCATTCAATATCATTCCCATTGAAATTAAATGTAAAAATATGTTTGAAAAATTAATACTTTCCCTTTTCTTGTATTAAAACTGATAATTCAATAGCAGATTTTGAAAGGCTTTGGGATAGTGTCTTCAGGCCTAGGGTTTCGGTCTTTGCATTTTATCAAAGATAGTTGGATAAGGCCTCACCATCCATTTGACTAAGAAACCCAATCAGGAGGGTTTTTTGTTTCTTCTCCAAGAGTTCTATATTGTTTCCTGTTCAGATCTGAACTATATAGGGTAGCAGAATGATGCCTTTAATGCCTTCCCCAAGATTCCCAATATTTTAGACCAGGATTTTTCAAACTGTGTTTTGGTGGGATTCCATGAGAAACAACTAAGCATCATTAAAAAAACTCATTCACTTGAGCTTTGTCTCTTGATCAAGGTATATGTGTATACACATTTGAAGGGTACCTAGTTTAGGAAAAGTGGTGCAAACTATAATTAAACAACTATCTTTTTAACAGCAGATCCAGTTACTTGATGGAAGACTTTCATCAGTTTCTCCTGAACAAAGGTATAGTTGTGATTAATTACTGGATGTCTTCTAAAAATCCAAAATAGTGGCCTAAAAATCTAAAATAGTGTACAAATAATCAGCCATCTTGTAAACAATCCTTTTGCTGTTTTGCAATAGAGCAATAATTTTGGTGGCAGTTATATCAATCTGTGGTAGAAGACCATATAACACGATGGAAACTTCCTTACTTGTTAAAAATATATAACTTAACTCTCAGGCATATGAGTTAGGTTTTTTTTTTTTTTTTTAATAAACAAATTTTATTGATTTTTTTTTTATCCCCCCAAAATAAACAAACATACAATTATGGCATAAGTCAATAATACAATTAATAATAAAAAAAAAACTAAAAAAAACCTCCCATTCTAAGATGCTCAGTAGCCTCACAGGAACACATTCCCTCTCTTCAACCTACTTCCCTCCTTCCTTCTACCTCCTTCCCTCCTCTCCACCCTCTCTACCACTCTACTCTACACATCCCCCCTCCTTCCCTCCTCCTCTTCCAAATGTGGTCCTGTAGGTCAATCGAGCCTCCATTCTTGTACTAAAAAACCTCCTATTCTAGAATGCTCAAAAGCCTCACAGGACAACATTCCCTCTCTCCAACCTACTTCCCTCCTCCTTCTTTCTACCTCCTTCCCTCTTCCTCTCCCTCTCAACCACTCTACTCTACACATCCCCCCTCCTTCCCTCCTCCTCTTCCAAATGTGTTCCTGGAGGTCAACCGAGCCTCCATTCTTATCTCACTACCATTCTAGTATACCAAAATACATAAGAAATCCCTTTCC